AATGGTAATTATTTACAATAGGGTTTTTTCCAAATTTTGATATTTTCTTGCGACTCTCTTGGTAAAAATCTTTTTTGTGACTCTGACAGTGATAATCAATCGGCGGAGTCCAAAAAATATGTACCTTACCTATTTTTAAATCTATTTTTTCTTTGGTATTTATGCATAAAAGGGGCCCTCTCTCCGATTTGGTTTATTTTTCAATATGTTGTTGGGGGAGTCTTCCCGAATCTTATTTCATATATATATATATATATATAAGGATCGGACTAAAATAGCTTCGGAGATATATGCACACGCACGCGCGCGCGGGGGGAGTGCAAGAGGAGCTTTCGGTTTTCCCTCCCGCACCCACCTCCGCCGCCGATAGGCAGCGTGGACCTCGCTTTACAACTTAAAGTACATGCTAAAGCCTGCGGTCCGATTCACGCTCACAGCGTTGTAAAGAGCGATGCTTTCAGCGCTGTGAGCGTGAATTGGACCGCAACTTTAGCATGTACTTTAAGTTGTAAAGCGAGGTCCACGCTGCCTACCAGCGGAGGTGGGTGCGGGAAAAGGGGCCAAAGGCCCTCCCTTGCACCCCCCCCCCCACGCACGCGCGCGCGGATGTGTGTGTGTTCCGGCATGTCGGAAAAAATATGTATAAAATTAGGTAAAAAAAATTGGTAAAAAAATTGGTTGGGTACATATTTTTTGGGCTCCCCCGATTGATTATCACTGTCGGAGTTACAATAAAGGTTTTTACCAAGAGAACCGCAAAAAAATATCAAAATTCAGAAAAGGCCCCATTGTAAATAATTACCAATAAAATATTGATCAGTTCAATTAAATATGTAAATAATTAATTAATTAAACATTGGTGGATATATCAAATGCGGATTGAGTTTTTCGAGTTACTTAATGTAGGTTTTTGGCCGCTGTATTCGAATTTGTCACTGAAATTACTGAAATTTTTCTATAACTTCTGGTTAAAAAAAAAAAATTGTTTTTGGCCATTCTTGACAAAAAATGATATTTTTGACAAAAATGATATATATAAGTGATGAACCCGATGTGTTAGAACATTCGAAAAAAAAAACTTAAAATAAATATTAGACAATATAGTTTCAGCTTAGTTTAGACAATATAGTTTCAGCATAGTTTAGGCTTAGCAAATATTTAATTCCGTTATTAATCCGCAATTATCTATCGCAGGCTACAGCGTTTCTTTGTAATAGAGTACGCGCACTCTCACCGTTACCCATTAGGTAAACCTTTTCATTAGGGGACCCATCTTCTATGACCTCGACCTTCACATATATTACAGAAATCACTTTTCTGCGTAACGTTCAAAAGATTCTAGCCGTCGGTCGATGTTTATTAAAAAGTTATTAACAAAGAAAATTTGAAAAATATAACACTTATTCTCACTGAAAGACATGAATAGCTAATATGTATGTGGAAATAGTACATATATGCATGAGCGGAGAACAGACTCCGCTCTTCTCCCTGCAACTCCATCTAAAAAAAAAACTAACTCAAATTTAACCAATATTACTGTAACAGTACCTTTTTCAAAAAAGGTAAAAAAAAGGCTCCAAGTACACGCAGATGTATGTTGTAAATCCAAAAATCCTAAATAGTAGTAGCTTTATTTCTCCCTAACAAAATAATTCAAAAAATTGAGTTACCTAACTCAACCCAAGTAATATGTGTTTCGAAAAAAGATGTGAAATCTTTAACAATAATAAGAGGTTTTATTTCGACTCAATTGGCTATATAAAGTTGACACAAACGTTACAATGTTTCGATCTTTGGTTCGGGTCCTTATCAAGCAATCTACAAAACAATTTGGTCTAAGGTCATAATTAAAGTCATATTTTAAAATTAACGGAGCAAAGTTAAAGGAATGTAATACCTACTAATAAAAAAAAACCATGACTTTTACATTAAACCCATGAAGATTTTTGCCGAAAAAACCATAAGTAAGATGTGGAATGTCGCTGGTAGTGACTTGAATTGATGCAGTATAAATGCGCAAATTAAAACCATTATGTCGTTGTAAGAAGTAGCGCACGTGTTGTCGAGGCGAGCATGTTCATGCGACTAACATTGAGTAGACGGACGAATTTAATAAATAAATTGAAGAACATCAAGCGATTGCGATAACATTGTTATATATGGGATTTAAGTTGTCCGTGTCTTTTTGAAGATTGATCGTATCGGTCTGTTTTTTTTATGAAAAATGTCTCGGCTATTTCACGTTTTCTGGTGTTATTCTCCTTATGTAGTGTATCTACAGTTAAAATCGTACTTATGGGCGCTACTACCCAATAAGCACAAGTACGTCTTATGTACGTACAATGGACATCCATGTCGGACATTGTGTACATCCACTGGACGTCCATATTAAGTACGACGGACGTACAGTGGACATCCATTGTATATCCGTTTGCAACTGGGCTGGACATCCATAGGACATCCATTATTGGACATTTATGGATCTTAAATGGATATAAATTATTAATCTAACGGACGTACTTTGGACCTTTTATGGACAATACCTTTACTAGACATATTTCGGCTTCTTATTATACGTGCATAATTTAGAATTAATTAGGTAATAAAATGAATAACGATTTAGTGAAAAACTGAAATAGTTTTATTTTATACAGTTTTATATTATCACAGTATACATATACTTATTATTATTACTGCACTTACAGTATCACTACAGTATTTTGTAATACTGCAATACATTTATTAAATTAAACTATAATAATATTTATATATGTATATATAGCTACATGTAACTAACTCTTTTATAATCTTATATTTTATATAAACTAAAATATAAACGAAAAAAAATATAAACCATAGTAAATCGTAAACGGACCCTCGAGAATTAACAAAACGGGAAGAAAAGAGGCTATAAGGGTCAAACGCGGTTCTTCTTGCGTAATGTCTCATTTATTCATCTTCTTGGATATAACTTCAAACGTTTCGGCTCAATTTCGAGCCATCCTCAGCGATAACAATGGTTAGCCCACGATCTCCAAACCATATAGCAAGCTCGTCGACTCGTGTTATTTGTACCAAATGATCCTTATCTGTAAGATTTTGATGTATAAAATCAAAACTTAATTAACCCGAGACAGTGATTAACTTACCAAATGGTCAAGAGAACGTGGGAATAAATAAATAATCGAAGTGACTTGTCGGTAGCATCGACATTTTAAAAACGACGGACGGAATAAAAACATTTAACGTAACGTAGTCAGAATTCGAATGTATACATAGATAGTTGTGTCGATGATAAAAGTATTATTGTGATAAAATTCAAAATACCAATGAGAGCACGAGAGCTCGACGCGTCATAACAATTGTACAGCCAATAAGGACATCAATCGTAGGCATGGTTTACAATTTATTTAAAATAGTCATGTATGCGTGATGTAGAAAATCGGTGTCATTTTGCAAATTAATACTATTTTCCTGCAGTTTTATGTGAATCATTTCAGAAATTAGTCTCCTGGATAAATATTTCTCTTTGTCTAGGATTTCCACATTCTCCCAGTCAAAATCGTGATCTAGATTCTGCCTGTGTTCAGTGACGACAGATTGTGTCGAGGTAATTCTATTAATGTGGCTCCGATGTTCAGAAATTCGAGTTTTTAATTGCCTTTTAGTTTGGTCTACGTATGACGCGTCACATTCTCTACAGGAAATTTTGTAAACCACATTTTTATTCGATTGAGCTGGGAGGACATCCTTTTGTACTTTAATAAATTTTTTAAGTTTGTTTAGGCTAAAGAAAGACAATCTGACATTAAGATCCCTGACAACTCTTGTAAAATCATCGGAGCTTCTCACAAAAAAGAGGCACGATTATGGGCATGGTTGATAGGGCCTTTTTACTTTCCCACCCTAAATATCATTGTAAGAACGTTAAGTTTATAATTGATACTCTCCTGAAGAACGACTATCCTTTGACATTTATTTTTGATACTATCAACATGAGAATTAAAGCGTTAATTAACAGACGCACTCGCAGACAGGATGAATCTCTAACCATTTGCGAGGAAGAACGGCGTAAATGGTTCACTGTACCATACGTTGAGGGGATCTCCGATGATTTTACAAGAGTTGTCAGGGATCTTAATGTCAGATTGTCTTTCTTTAGCCTAAACAAACTTAAAAAATTTATTAAAGTACAAAAGGATGTCCTCCCAGCTCAATCGAATAAAAATGTGGTTTACAAAATTTCCTGTAGAGAATGTGACGCGTCATACGTAGGCCAAACTAAAAGGCAATTAAAAACTCGAATTTCTGAACATCGGAGCCACATTAATAGAATTACCTCGACACAATCTGTCGTCACTGAACACAGGCAGAATCTAGATCACGATTTTAACTGGGAAAATGTGGAAATCCTAGACAAAGAGAAATATTTATCCAGGAGACTAATTTCTGAAATGATTCACATAAAATTGCAGAAAAATAGTATTAATTTGCAAAATGACACCGATTTTCTACATCACGCATACATGACTATTTTAAATAAATTGTAAACCATGCCTACGATTGATGTCCTTATTGGCTGTACAATTGTTATGACGCGTCGAGCTCTCGTGCTCTCATTGGTATTTTGAATTTTATCACAATAATACTTTTATCATCGACACAACTATCTATGTATACATTCGAATTCTGACTACGTTACGTTAAATGTTTTTATTCCGTCCGTCGTTTTTAAAATGTCGATGCTACCGACAAGTCACTTCGATTATTTATTTATTCCCACGTTCTCTTGACCATTTGGTAAGTTAATCACTGTCTCGGGTTAATTAAGTTTTGATTTTATACATCAAAATCTTACAGATAAGGATCATTTGGTACAAATAACACGAGTCGACGAGCTTGCTATATGGTTTGGAGATCGTGGGCTAACCATTGTTATTGCTGAGGATGGCTCGAAATTGAGCCGAAACGTTTGAAGTTATATCCAAGAAGATGAATAAATGAGACATTACACAAGAAGAACCGCGTTTGACCCATATAAACCATAATAAAAAATGAAAGTGATGATGAGTTTCTCAGGTAAGTTATTAATAAATGATTCGACCAATTAATTTTCAGCATCTGAACCTTCACGCGCAGTTTCTGCATCATTATTATTCTCTCCACGTTTCTTATTATTATTATTACTACGTTCTTTGGCTCTTCTTAACCACTTTTGGATTGCTTCTTCGCACTCTTTATTAGTAGAATTTGGGATGCTTTTTTTGACAGAACCTATAATATAAAAACAGGGTAAAAAATAATTAGAAAATTGTAAATAGTAAAATTGTAAATAGTAATTGTATATTGTATATTTGATAATCTACGAAGAAAGAATTATTTTAATAAAATCGTTAAATAAAAGATAATCGGTAAATAAAAGATAATCTAAAAAACTACTTACCAATTATCAAATCCGCTAATTTTAATTTGTTAAAAGTTTTTTTGGCTCGCCTTCCCAACCAGCTATAGGTTGATGCAAGGTCATTTGTTATTAACATTTGCAAAGCTCTTTGAGTAAAATTCTGTACAGAACTTCCACCAATTTTTGCAAGTTGATTCATCTGTAAAATTCAAAATAAAAATAATAATTAACTAAAATTTCATTAATTGATAAAGTATATTTGTAAAACTGCAATAAATATGTAACATATATATGTGAGAATAACACATTTATAAAATATTACCGCAACGTTAAAATTTTTCTCGTCGTTTAGGTGTTCATCGACGCGGATTAGGTCTTCCTCGTCTTGTAACGGAAAATTAAACATTGTGAAGAATGAAGTTGTTGCTTCCTCCACTTCATGAGTCACCTTATTCATAACAATACGATAACCGATTAACCGATGTGGTTAATTCGTGAAGTGAATCTGTATATTGCCACATGCTGGCTTTGAAAAGATTTTGTTGTTGGATGATTTCTTTAAAATAATTTTCTGGAAAAAAGTTTAATATATTTATTAATCGTGTCGAACATGTAATAATAATTTAATTTTATAATAAGATTAATGATAATTCTATCGAAAATAACTGTACATAAAATATATATTACTCGCAATCGCAAAATTTGCCTATTGCCCGAATTTTTTAACCAATGCAATATATGGCTTAAATGTCCATAACGCGTTCTGAGTACTTTATTTCGGCCACAACGCGTTGTTTTCCAACGCTCAGTGGTCAAAATAAATATCCAGAACGTGTTGTGGACATTTAAACTTATCCATATCGCATTGGTTAAAAATTCGGGCAATGGGCAAATTTTGCGATTGCAAATAACATATACATACCACAGTTGTGTTTTATATGTACAGGACAACATTTACATTCTTGTTCATTAACATTCAATGGTTTATCGTTGTCATCTAAAGATTTATTACCTCGTTTATTACCTACAAAATTTACAAAAAATACATTTTAAACTTTTGCATTTTGTAAAGGTGCTTAATAGTTGTGATTAATAATTATATATATTACAAAAAATAATTTACCAATCGATAAATTCCTTTCAAATTTCTCATTTCGAATTCTATCGTTATTAGTAGCTTGACTCTTTTGTTTCGGCTTTCTTTTACTTATAAAAGTACTGGTGTCTGGAAGAAAACATTAGGAACTAAATGATTGAATGTTTTTTGAATTTATAAAGTATTCGCGAATGTTTTCTTTTATCCCTAAAAATTTACGTTATACTTTTATTTTAAAAAGATTTTAAAAAGTAAAATAACGCCAGATACTATATCTCTTCATTTATAAGATAATTAATTTTTAACAAAATTTATATAATGTAGCAAATAAATACATGCATACGAACCATTCGTTAAACGTGGAGGAGTCGGCAATTTAGTCGGCAATTTATTATTATCGTCTGATGATGATAGATTATCCTCATCAAATGAAAAGCCAAACGTTTTTTTTATTATTTTCCTTTTATTTATGTCGGATTCTGTTTCATTCTGTTTAGATCTGTCAGAATTTACATCGGACGAATACTCCGCCCGTTTACACTTTTTTTCTGCTGTTGAATAATCATCTAAAACAAAATAAATATAACATGACGACAATGCATAAATATATTTTTTGTTAATTGATACATAAGAACACAATAAGTAATATATTTACAAAAAGTTCCATTTCGTATAAGCCGAATAGGATATGAAGGCCAAGAAGTATCAAGTGCATCGTGATTTTTTACTGCAGCTTTCAACTTGTCAGGTGTAAGCGTCGGCCAATAACATTTGTCATTTAGTATCCAACTTGATGGAACTACTTCAACACAATCTTCATCAGTGAAAATCACAATAGTCCATGTCTTTGTCATTTTTCCTGCAAATTATTAACAATTTGTGTACGCAACTTCAAATCGATCACTTTAAATATTATATAAATATTTGGAATCAAGCCGTTAACAAACAGAAGGGAATTCAATTTTTTATCTTATCGTAAAATTTATTTGTTAGGTATATATATTCTCAGAACAATTGAATATTATAATAATATTCTTTGGAATGTTATTCATCATTTTTAAAAATACTAAGAAGTTAATAAATTTAATATTTAAGAAATACATCTCTATTTTTATTAATTTTAATTGTAAAATATGATCTTAATAAATATAATCTAAAATAATTTTAATTGTAAAATATAAAAATAAATTGTAAAATGACATTTAAATAATCCTAAATTAAAATTATTTTATATAGAAAAGTAAAATTATATATATATATATATATTAAAATCTATAAAATTCAATTAGACGCGGAATGAAGTAAGGGAAAAATAACAAATTTATCTTTAAAATGTAATTTTATACATTTATGCGATATTTCATTTATATTCCAACTTTGAAGATCGTTAACAACGTTATCAACTAAATATATACCCAAATCAGAAGAATTACATGGTTCATTCTAAAAATCTTTTTTTGAATTATATTTATTTCCAATTATTACTATATTTTTATCGTTACTAGCAATATTTTTAATTAAAACAATGTCACCATTATTTAAACTACAACAATTATTTGGATCTTTTATTTTTAGAGTAAAATTAGAAAATACAATTTTTTCCCATTGACTAGTACACAAAAATTGATTTAAAGGTCCGTTATCATGTTTATTGAATAATTTGGGTTTCACATTCAAATTATTTTCTTTACTTAATTCTGCAAAATTTTCTTCACATATACGATTAACTATTTGTTGCAATGGTTTATCTTTTTTTCTAATATATCCTTTTATCTTTTGCATATGATTTTCAAAGGGATAGGCACTGTATTCTTGTAACATTCCAAACTTTTTTACATCATTGCATAAATGTAATAAGTTATGAATATTAATTGAACAATTATCTTTGCCATACAAAATTATATAACTTTTTACAAAATAATTAAGAAGAGAATTAGCGTAATCTAAATATCTAACATGCTGGAGAGACGATAAAATAGTGACAGCTACATTTAAAGACATAAAATTGAGATAATTGTCTCGATTAAGTACAGATTTTAAACAACAGGACCTGTGTACAATAAAAATTGTCTAAATTCTGTAGCTTTCCATCTTCTACTTTCTTCTAATGATCTAGGTGTACGATTAAATTCTAAAGGGATATTTTTAATTTGATTTATTAATAAACCAGAAAGGGCATAGGGGGATAAGCATGTAAAAATTGCCCCCGCAAGTATAAAGTTGATATTGGCGTCGTAAGTTAGTACCCATGTGACCTTGAACTCCTGCAAATATTGGTCTTGAAATTACATTTTTGAAGGAGTTATGGAGGAAGAAAGAAAAAAAACAAAAAATTTCTTTCTCGAAAACGGCTCGACCAATTTTTATAAAAAAAATATATGTTGTAGGTATCAATAATGGTGTTTAAAAGAAAATATTTTGTAATTTTTGAACAAATAATAGAACTGAAAAAAATTATTGAATTTTTCAAACAATTTTTTTTGTGTTCCTTTAGAGTGACACCTTTAATTTTTTTTGCAAAAACATTGTACTAGTATTTATTGTAACGTATAATTTTTCCAGATTTTTAAAAAATATAGTTTTGGAGTAAAAAAATGAAAATCATGGTCGTGTCACCTGATGCTCAAAGTAAC